TCCTATAACAGGCATCTATTAATTTTATGCCATAGCTGAATGTACTCTAAAATAAAGTTATCAACTAAGTGGATGACATTGAGTATAACTGTGCAACATTCAATAAAGAGTTCACAGGCAGTGTCTACGCAAGTTCCACCATCATGAGGCTAACAAACATAGGAACGAATGTTCATCTACATCTGTCACTTATTATGCAGTTGACTTCAGATAATTGTGGAAAGACTTCAAAGTTATTGACTAATGATGTTTCTGCCACAGCTATGATGAGTGGTTTTAGTCTATCCACTAATACACCTAGTTCATGATATTTGATTCTTAAACTACGAGAGTTTGCATATAATCTCCTAAAGAGTACGACCAATCCACACTAGCCTTAATAGCATATACATCCAAGAATGACTGCTCGAAAATCCGTTTTTCTCACAGTACATGTCTGATAGACTTCTTTAACGAGGTTACTCGTATACGTGACCAGAAAAAACTAGTTATTATACTATCCTTCGATCTTAAGAAGGCCTTTGATAAAGTACCTCATAATCTTCTAATCGACAGACTTAAGTCAGTTGGAATTATAAATCCCCTTTTGCGATGGATCAAGTCTTTTCTTACGAACAGATATCAAATAACCAAGATTAACTCTACAACATCTACACCTCCACCAATAACCAGTGGTGTTGGACAGGGTAGTGTCTTGGGTCCATTGCTCTTTATAATCTACATCAACAATATATGGAAGTGCTTTAGCACAGGTAAGACATACCTCTATGCCGATGACTTAAAAGTCATCTATAAAACTGACATTTGCGACGTACATAGTACTATGCAAACAAACCAACATAAACTCAACATGGTAGACGACTGATGCAAACGCTGGAGGTTAGAGCTCAACACAGAGCAATGTGGATGGTTATGTATAGGAGACACGTCGCTTAAAGTAAAACTAACACTTGACAACAACACATTGCCCAGACTGGCATCAGTAACTGACCTAGGGGTACATTACTCACACAGTCTTAATTTCTCTGAACACATCTCAGCCAAAGCATCCAAAATGTGGAAATTGCTTGGCTTCATTCTCCGTAATTTCTATCAAAATGAATCTAAAATCCTTCTTTACAAAGTTTGTGTAAAATCTATCGTTGAATATTGCTCGTTCTTATTTTCCAACCTACGCCTATCTGATATACTAAAGGTGGAAGGAATACAACGAGACTTCACCCGCAAAGTACTTAAGACTGACTCGGTCACTGACTACAGTTCCCGATGCCAAATCTTAGGAATAGCACCCCTTTGGGAGAGAAGGCTTAGGTCTAATTTGATTCTCTACTTCACACTACTCAAAGACCTTACTTATTCAATATGTAAGATAATTCTTAGCCGAGATTCACATGAATACGGACTTCGAAACAAAGTATCTACGGTCATAGTTGAGAAATACAGATCAAAAACTCGGGAAAACTCCCTCCTCATCAAGTATGCAATAATATGGAACAGTCTTCCCTCCGAAACTCGCATAGCAGATGAATTACATACGTTTGTAAAACTGCTTGATCAAGCCCTTACTTCCACTGATCTAGCACGTACGAACACATCTGCGCCACACTCAGACATCATAGGCTCTCTCCATGTTTAGACCAAAATGGACTTCAAGTTCAGTTTGCCTTATTTTTCCTACTTTGCAGTTGTATAAGTTACTTTTTCCACCCTATTTCTTTACTTGAAGTAGACAGGTAACCCACTGAACCTGTCGATGCTGTTCAGCTAAACTCAGTCGCTAAGGGTCACTCACTACCACCCTAAAAAGTCAAGAGGACCGCACAATGGACTGCCTACTACCAGTGGTCTTGCATATATGGAACCTGTTACCAATCAGCTGGTTAGGACAGCACAAAATAACATCAGCACCAAGTTACTGTGAGTTTCTTCCTGTTTATCTTGTATTAACGTTTTACTCCTCTGCACACTATGTTGGCTAGCAATTAATATTATTTCTCCACTCGTTACCTTATCTACAACTCATACACTTCTACACTTTTCCGCCTGCTTTGATAAACAACTATCCTACATTATACCCTTCTTAATGCTTATACTCTGATTGACAAACTATACTTTATACTATAGTCAACAGAAACACTGCATCGATGCCTTACCCACAGTCCATAACTTGTAACTGCCTGATAAGCTTCTAAAGTGGTACTTATAGAAATAGTGTTTTCCAACAGGTTGTGAAACACGGAGGATTGTGTGAGGTATGACATATATCCAAAAATAAGCTTAAATGAGCCTACCATCACAAAAGGGGGAGGGTGGAGTTACTGACCACCCGTGTTCGTGGGGGCAGAACATTTTGTGTGTATCAGGCTCTTTATGATTGAGAATAAGTCAATCAATCTGTGATATAGATTGTCTTCCTACGCTCACCACTCAGACATGTTTCCAATTTTGTGCTAGATTAGCTATCCTACTAAGACAACCTATAACATGCTAACTCAGACTTTTACACTAGGATTGTGTGGCTGGCATCGGATGGACAAAAAAGAAAGGAAAGAAAATATTAGACAATATGCACACTCCCTTCTAATAAACCGCTTTCGTTGTACCAACCTTGACTTCCCTTCCTTCATTTGAGCTTACTTCAACTTGTTAAACATCACAACTCATTGTCCTTTATTACTTTATTCTCGAATATGGAGCCTCTAACTTCATTTCACTCTAACAAGAGATAATAAGAATTTATTCTAATTTATTATACCTCTGTCTGTTCTACTACACAATGTTAAGCAAAGTTTGGCATTCATATCCAAGTGCCTTGCTGCTCTTCTGTTTTTCTGAGGGCACAGCTATGAAACGTCTGACGTATAAAACAAACTAGGCGTACGCGTCTTCTCAAGGTCATTGATTACAGCAAGCGCTTTACGAGTCTAATTTATAACAACTATAAACTTGATAAGTTGGGAAGCATATTCTGCATCAACAAATGTGGTAATTTATAGATCATACCTGTAAAGATGGCGTGTACCTGCACATGCAGAAATATATTATTAATGTTAATTAATATTAACATCTAAAAACTCGATATTTTAAGATTAGGGTAAACTTAACTTTCTCTCAGGCTATGGAATATCCTAATGGGGCCACCAATGTTCAGCATTAGAACGGCTTTTTTTCTTGAGTTATATTAACGATTTTTCACAACAGGTATCATCTGACTTATTATTCTTCGTTGATGAGGGAATCGTTCAGCCATGAGGGTGGACTAGCACTTCAGGAAGATCGGACTACACTTCAAGGGCGAGCAGACGACAACAGACTTAACTTTAACACTTAATAGCGTAAAGTAGTCCGTCTGAGGCATGTTGCAAACTACAACTACAACTTAGGCAACTCCCCTCTAGTGGTATCTCAAGTTTAAAAAGATCTAGGTGTGTTGATACCCTTCTTTCTGAAGTGTTACGCTAACTGCTTCAAATATGCTTTATATCAAACCTTTCACTAGTAGCATTGGATCGCATTTTCGTCCAGTTTGGAGGAAAGACTTTCCACCTAATCTTTAATAGTTTTATTCGTCTCGATTTAGAGCACGGAAATATTGTATTTCCTCCCTGACCCCCAAAGGATTAGGACACTCTTGTACGTGTCACGGAATCAGTTCGATGATTCCAATTCAAACCTTATGAAGAGCGCCCTCAATCACCAAACCCTTACCCATAAGAGTACAGGCGTCTTAGAGGTGACCTTCTAATGGCGTACAGCATCTTTAAGACTTCTGGACATTCCCTTAAACATCTACATAAGTTTAGCTCCAACACAAACGTAAGGGGTAACACCCAGGAACTGGAGACATGACTCAGCAGGACAGATTGTAGACACAAAGTCTACTCCTTAAGAGTTGTCAAATGCTGGAATTCACTGCCGGTCGAGCTAGTCCAAACGACTTCATATGAATCGTTTAAGAGAAATCTTGACATATTCTTAATAATTAAGGCTTTTACCTTACAACGAATTACTAATTTCTTTATCCTTAATATACCTAAGTGATTCATTGCTACTAGGCTCGGAAGCCCGTTAAGCGAAAGCTTCTTATATTCCGTCCACAACCAATTGAACCATTTGAAGAGTGGACGTAATATTTTTAAGGATTCAGGGCAGGATTTCATCATCTTTTACTAACACTTTTAAAATGCCACAGGTATTCGGAGTCAAACAACACTCTTAGAAGTAAAACCTTCACAATTTGAGTATTCCATCTAAGTCAAACTAAAAGTCAGAAATGAAAGGTTTCGAAGATATAGTTGAAAGGCTATTGATTTATCGGAAAGCGTTAAATCTAAGCTGACTACCGGCCGTAGGAGATGCGTAGCACGATGTACCCACTCGCTATCTGGTGCAGATGCACTACCGAGCACCGTCAGCTAGAAGGGTTTGCTAAAACTAGTGTGGTCAGCATCAAATGTCGAAGACAAACAAGACTATTTATTTTTGGGATTTATTTACTTTTACAACTTCTCTTTAGCCTGTTAAACATAACTAGGTCCGAACCTGACCCCATCAACGATCTACTGCTGCTATGTACGTAAGCCTCTTTAGCGAAGGCTTCTTCTCTTTCGTCTGCAACCATTTGAACCATTTTTCGAACACTCACATTGGTAATGCAACTCAAAGTAACGAAATGCGATGAAGTCTTAATAACTTCCGAAAACTGAAACAATTGTGGCATACCCAAAATTTTGCTTGATGATGATGACTGTCTGAGAAGTAGTTCGAATTTGTACTCAGCATTACGATTATAGGCCTCGGAATTTTATCTGCTACACTGTACTTGTAGCATTAGTAGTGTCCGAAAAAGATTGTGACCAAAACTTTTGTACATTTTTTTAACTTTGTAACACGGCAAGTTTTATTTAACAAGGACATTAGAGGTTTCTCAGAGAATTAAATTTCGAGGAACTACTTATCTGTGTAACTCAAAATTAGAGTTTGAACTGTGAGTCTCGTACGTTCAGACAACCTTGACAAGGAAAAGCGCTCCTTATGGTTAGGTTTCTTGTCAATGTCGAGGCGTGATGTCGCTCCTGGTGCGAATGTTCAAGAAATGAGTGATGTGAACCAAAATTTGTCCTACAGTTTTCGGTTGGGCATTTCTAGTGACGTGGAGGTATTATATATGACCTAGAATAACGAAGGAAGTATTTTCGGCTCTAGGATACGCAAGCCTTTCGTCGAAACCAGACATCACGATGCAGCTCTACAGGTGTGCTGTCTTTCACTAATGACGACTTACATCCTGATATCTTACTGGACCAAGGCATCGAAGTAGGTTTAACTCTACGAGACATTTGGCTCTCAGGGTTTTGACTATGATCCTGTTCAGAATAAAATATTCACTGACGAAGGAGTACGAAGGGCGTCTTATGTAACATATAATACAGTTAATTACACTTTACAGGGAAGCATCTTTAGAGGAGCCTCGCTAAGGCATTTAGTACTATTCTTCATAGGCGTGTTTACTGGACTTTCTGCCTGCGTAATTGATTACGCTATTGAAAACATCTCGAAGTATAAGTATAGATCAGTTTCATGGCGTATCCTTTTAATAAACAACATAGAGGCTCAGGTTACACTTCAACAAACTGTCTTCCGTCCTTAACCAGCGTAGTTATCAGTCGTTACCCACATTCTTTGTGGATTTCTGTTCCAGGATTTTTGTGGTGTGCAATCAATTCTTTCCTCACAGGTATAGCAGCTACACTAGTCGTCTTTTTAGCTGTATGTCAAGTTTCTGACCAAATATTTTTGTAGCCAGTTGCTTCTGGAAGCGGAATCCCGCAAATTAAATGTTATCTTAATGGTCTTAATGTTCCTCGTGTTATGCGATGCCTGACTATGATCGTAAAGGGTGTTGGTGTTATTTTGGCGGTGTCTGGAGGTTTGGCTGTTGGAAAAGAGGGACCTATGATACATATTGGCTCGGTGATTGCTGCAGGATTATCACAAGGGCGATTGCGGTTTTTAAAATATTCCTTGGGTTGCTTGAAGATTTTTAGAAATGACCAAGAAAAACGTGATTTTGTCAGTGCTGGTGCGGCTGCTGGGGTTGCAGCTGCTTTTGGAGCACCTGTAGGGGGTCTGTTATTCGCCCTTGAAGAAGGCGCTAGTTTCGTTTATCAAAGATTAACATGGACCATAGTAAGTTATTGTTCGTTTTTGTAATGTTTTTCTACCCTCAAGTTTTGCTTGTGTCAAACTGTCTGTTCGTCATTTGGTTTTCCACTAGATATTGTAGGTGGACATTAAACCTAAAGTCATGTTTGTAATAATCGCAGCGGTTATGCTCTGAATTGTCTCAACGTTTTATGTGACACTGTATTTAACATGTCCTGTCACGTCTACGTGTTGGTTTTGTATGTATCTAAAGTGTGATTCATTCGATGCAAGTATGTTCAAAATTTGCTACATGTTGGCCCATATTAATGTACTTCGTTATTAAAACCCAATGAACAAAAAAACCTTTGTTCACGGCTGTAGTCATATCAATGTTCTGTTCATCTCAAAACTCAAAGGACATTTAGGAAAAATAGCTCGTCAGTGTTGGTTCAAAAGTAGTCGGATTTTGTGTTGTCAAGTTAATGTCAAATAACTGGACACAAATTCAAATAAAACAAGCATTTAAACAATCGAGGTTGCTCTCTCAATTCCCGTGTTACTAGAGGTTAAATCAAATCAGGTGTCGAAAACATTTTCACTTATTGATTAACTGTTACCGTCATGAAGCTAACCTCAATCCACACTATTCAACCTAGGGTCCGCCCATATGTGTAGGGCTTCATGTATTAATATTTCTTTCTCAACAAACCCTACCAAATAATTTTGGTTTGATCGAAGTCTACTTGACGCCATTTTACTATTGAATACACTGTTATCGTTGATTTGTTCCCAAGCTTTCTGTAGTCTTCTAAGAATTTAGAAGTATTTCCTAAACATTGTCTATGTCCACTTTGTTGTTTAACTAGCTGCCCGGACGTTTTGTTCAGTGTGCAGCACGACACTCATAACATTTAAATTCGTACACACGTTCTGTGTTCATCATTTGGAACCACATTCTTGACTTTCACGAGAACAGGTCTGATTGTATCACTGGCACACAAATAAACCTTTAGATCTTGTTTGACATTCTTATGATTATCTTTGTTCAGTGTTTTTTTTTCAGTGAAGATTGACAATATTCATGTTGTACCGTAATACTGATAAGTAAACATTTTTTTATACGGTGGCGTGCTGCTTGACTCAGAATACTGTACTTTGATCTCAGACCTGTGAAACAATCAGTCCAATATCATCAGGTTTCTTAGAAGGGATATTCGTCACCGGAGTTATATGTCGCCTATAAATCTCTAGCACCCCGTGTTGTGATTTTAAGGCCGGCTAGTTATCACATGATTTATCCGCCAATTGAAGTATTGTGTTAAACCAATGACGTTCGACCGGTATGAGCAGCCTAGCATCCTTATTGGTCCTTTGTTCGCCTAACCCATCCATTGAGTCTAAAACACCAATAACAGCTCACATTATGCGAATCATTTATTTCAAACATACTTGGTTTATATATCAGCCAAACAGACCGCATTACACCATAAAATAGGAAATGACATTTATACAAAATCAAACCAAAAAGTGGCTATGAACGTGGGAGACAGTAGTCAATAAACTGAACATAACTTAAAAACAGTAAATCGTACAATAATAATTTATAGGTCGAAATGAAGCTTATTATAAGAGGAATATAGATATACATAGTCTAGCTACTGGATAGTTATACAATAACTATATATATATATATATATATATATATATATATATATATATATATATATATATATATATATATATATAATATTAGTCCATTAATAGTTCTCGGAAGTTACTCGTAATTTAATCTTCACTAGGATACAACACTCCGATTTAAAAACAGTTGTTTTCCTCGTCGATTGAATTCGCCTACCTTTCACTTTTAAACATTTCTCTAACTTCATGTCGACTGATAACACTAAAGATACAAGCTCACTAGATGCTGTCTTATGTCTTATATAACCGTACTGCAAATTGATTGTTCGTGCTCCCATTTATCTCATATCAAATCAGACAACAGATCACTGAGGTTTATTCCAACAAGCTTGAAATATGAGTAGAAATAAGAGTAATCTTACAAAGGTCTACAAAATGAGCGTGAGCGCTAGTGAAAAATAAGCAAAATATATGGTAAATTCACCAATATCATGTTAATTTGTGAATTAAAGTAATAACCAACTTAGCGAGAGTTAGGACAGAAGGACCTGGCTTTAATTCTGATGTTATTTCAGGATGTTGGTCCTGCATTACCCGTTATGTTATCTACGGGGTACATTTAAAATTGGGGGTACTTCCATCTGATCAGTTTGGGTTGTCGACCATCCCAGTATATAAAAGATACAAAGTGAAGTGTTCAAGTCTGATTTTATGGTTTTTATCTGAAATTGTGGACAATCGGGCCGTTGTTTATTCTGCAAAGTGAACTTTAAAATGTTAGTAGTTAGCAGGTTAAGTTACCACAAACACGTTTCAGGCTGAATTTCCAAATGATAAAAGCTTTCATAAGAGCTCGCATTTACTATCTTACATGTTAATTGGTGATACATTTCATGCGTTATATAAATCTGAGGATTTAATATTCGAAAAGGTAATAACTTTTCTTGATACTATAAGAATGTGTCCAATGGCATTATATAAATATATAGCGTCGCATATAAAAGCACATCTGGCTTTTATCTGTCACTTAGAAAAAAATGAATCATAAAATGGTGTTGAGTATTATGATTTTTTTTGTACACTCTCCTAGTGTTAGGATGTATATTTCGTGCTAGTCTATGTAGGTTGATTAGGAGTTTTATTGCAAGTTCATAATAGCATTGTACCAATAAAAATTTGCTCTTGTAGCTCTTCGCATCAATGGTTTCGATGTTTACTTTGGCTCTGTTCAAATCACTGACTCGTACCCATGTGTTCAAATTTACTCCTGGTGGTCTTGTAAGCTTCGGTACCATAGAAGTAAGTTATATCCCTTGATTTACTTAATAGTCACATTTATTTATGATATATACCGCGTAACAATCATTACTTGTCTGTTTGCCTGACTTTCTGATAATATCAAGCGAAATATTATCATTGTTATGTTTTCACTTGTATTCAGAATCGATCACAATGGCGTCGGTGTATACACTTTCTGTCTTCCCTTAAACTAAGAGATTAAAATTGCTTCATATCTTTCTTTCTACGAACTAATTCTTTCTTCCTGTGCTATATCCTTAATGCAATCTTTCTTTTATATATTACCACCTCTGAATTAACTACTTTTATGAATCCGGTGTCCATCTTGTTGTGTTAATGAGGTATGGCAACTTGGACCGATGCATAAATGTGCCTGGTCCTACGTTGTAGCTGACTGACTGACTGTGTTCATTGTCTTATTAACTAAAAAAAATACTAGCCAATTCTATCTTTTAAATCTAATGGTCAATGCACTCCATGAAGTTCTTTTTAATGAAATATTTTTGAAAGTGAATACTTGTTTCGCTCATCACAATAGAAGTGATCCATTATAGTATAGATTTATCGTTTATTATCAATCATTTCATCTTGTCCAAAAAATTGTTCTACGTATTGGATTTCGGGTCTAGAATCCGAACCGTCACATGTTATTTTTCATTGCTTCTAAAGGTTCAAAGCTAATGTAGTTGGCTAATTATTGTTCACATTCATGTGTCATTTATACTGTGGTATTTTCTTTCCATATAACTAATGTTGTCTGTTTTTATTTGTTTTGTGCCTTCTTGGTTTAGTCATTAAACGATTACAATGCCTATGAAATTCTTATGTTTTTGCTAATGGGTCTAATTGGTGGATTATCTGGAGCATTGTTTGTGAAAGCGAATTCAGTCCTAACAAGATATAGACAAAAGTAAGCAAAAATATGTAAGAAATTCATTACTTCGCTTAAAGTTGTTCAAGCATGAAAATGGCTTATAACTTTAACGTTACAACGGGTAATCCTTTTCTAGTAGGACTTTGTCACTTCCAATTTTTGCAATATGACTGAAATTTCTAGCAAAATACTATCTTCAACTGTAGAAACCGTTAATAATACATAAAATTGTTCAGTGGTCATAAAATTTTTTTATATTAGTTGTTCGATCCGACATTACATTTTCGTGTATATCATGTTTGGAAACATTTGGGACTGAATAATTTCCTTCCCTTTGTTTCAGGAACATTACAACAAAATATAACAAGATTATAGAAGCCATTCTGGTCAGTTCGTTAACTACCACTTTATGTTTTTCAATAATGTGGGCTGTTCGTGATTGTAGTCCATTAGCATATACTAGCAGTTCTTTCCCTCTCAAAGTACGTTTTACTCTCGTTGATTCAGTCATTAATTTATTGTTTTATTAAAGATATTCGATTGATATAAATTCGATTCTTACACATTAATATATTTTCACTATTTGTGATGGTTAAGTGGAGATCGTTTAATATTTGTTAATTCTGTGAATTCAAATCAAACCGGATGGTACTAAAACTTATGCTAATACTGGGTTATGTTACAAATTGGTTGATATTGGTTATGACAGTGTTTTGTCCAGTTGTAGTGGTTTTAGAGATTTCACCATGAAGTTGAGCACTTTGATATACAAGGAGAAGTAAATATAAATTACTTTAGGTACTCTTTGTGTATCGAGGTTTATTTCCCTGACATTGACCTATGATAATGACCAGGCGTAGTTATTGTTAATTAGCTCTTATTAATTCTTACTTTTAAAATCCATTCCATGAAAATAGTTCAGATTGTATATTTGTCTTAAGGCCTCTATCGTACAAGGTAATTAAACAATCGTATTTCTTTTATCAGAATTTGTTATAATGGGGATAGTTACTGTATTAAATTTATTCAGTCTTTTACAGATGATGATATAACTAAGGAACACCCTTCTGTCCACATATACTGCATATTCAAGATTTCTATAAATTACTGAGCATACGCGTCCGTCTAGTGTTTCAGAAGTTTCTTCCATGTCCTCATACCCAAGGACAACAATCTATCAAAGTATCAATGATACTTTTTTGCACGAAGCGCTAGATAAAATGCAACACTGGTTGACTAAAATAATTATTCACATTCATACTGTTAGACTAGAGGGTTTGATTTATGTGAGAAACAATTGGCAGGAGGTATAAACATTTACTATTTATCCAAATGTTCCGGCCAATCGTAGCTAAGATTCATTCAGGGATTAATTTTACTACCAACTAAGTGATCCTAACTAAGGATGAAAAACGGTTATCGCGGTAATAACTGTGGCTTGAACACATGTTAAGATTCTAGAGTCAACAAAGTCATTTATATGATCATCCGACTTCACACTAACGATGTTGCCGCCAAACTGATGTTACTCGACTTAATGAGACATAGAAAACTAATTCTTAAATGGAAGTTTATTTCACACCCAAACACTAGGTTAACTATATTACAGCTTAGTTTTTGAGTGTTGACAATGCACTGACAAATCCAAATCAAACTACCATGAACAATTTTGTTATAAGTAATAATTTCATATCACAATATTACATGTTTTCGCTTGGCGTTTATTTATAAGTCTAGAAAATATGATTACTACCATATTTGTTATTAGTTAAAATTGTAAACACATCAACACTCAATAAATTCTATTTTTCGACATATTAATTTCTTGACTAATCATATGAGGTTCATTAATTTTCCCTATATATTTTCCGTATAAAACAGATGATGTGTGCGGACAACGAGTTTAATTCAATTTCCTCACTGTTATTTTCAACACCTGAACGTTCTCTCCGAACTCTGCTTCACGATCCTCCAATGACATATAGTATTTCAGTGTTAACCATATTTGTACTCGTATACTATTTCTTGGCCTGCATTACATATGGTTTGTCTGTTCCTGCTGGTCTATTCATACCATCTTTGTTGATTGGTGCTGGCTGGGGTCGAATCATAGGTTAGTGGTTATTTCATAAATTTCTACTTTATACATGAAATTGATACAACTAGTACATCACATATAAAGTATATCCCACCGTGTCCTTGACATGGAAAGATTTTGTACTAGGAAGTAATAAGCAAGGTAAAGCATATTTTAAATCCCGAAACGAACCATACTGTGTAAACAGTTAACGCACCATAGTATGGGGGAGGGTAGCACGTATATGATGTACTCTTGTAAACCATATCCATTTAAGCTAATGATTATAACTGTTCCTAAGATTCTAATATACTAAGTTAATACTATATCGTTTTGGGAATGCGCTGTGTCAGCAAAACGCTTTAATCATTTCATTTTGAACAACTCACGAGATCATTTTGTTGTTTTACGCTTGGATAATACAACCGAGCATATACTATTGACATGAGAATGGATTTAACCTTATTTATAGGTCAAGTGACGGCGCTTCAACGATGACATAACCGTGCTTAACTAAAAAGAGATTTAAAGCAATTAGTCCCTTTGATAAATTTCGGTAGTGTAATAAGATGAAACTTATCAGAACTATGTGATATATTAGCGCAATACTTTTCGAACAATCTGATCACATATATACTTGTTAAGAACATTTATATATAGAAATAAAAGATCGAATTCGAATCAAATTTGTTAACCTGAATTAATTAGATTTTATTAATTATTTTACTGTACAAACTAGTAGTTCTTTTTATCCATTTTTATAATTATTTTAGGACATTTAATGCATACTATTGATCCAGTTCATTTCTCCGATCCCGGTAAATTCGCACTGATTGGAGCTGCTGCACAATTAGGTGGTATTGTTCGAACGACATTAAGTTTAACAGTTATTCTAATGGAGGCAACAGGCAACGTAATTGTTGGATTACCTTTGCTAATGACTTTGACTGTTGCTAAGTATGTGGGTGATTGTTTAAGCGAAGTAAGTTGTTAAGCTTTTCTATAAATTGATCGATTTGTAGTCGTAGTCCAGTATTGTTTTTTATTATTTTAATCGGGTCGTTTTTGTGTTGACTTTCAACTTATTACAGGGGATTTATGATGAACATATTGGATTGAATAGTATGGCTTTACTTCCGTGGACACCGCATTCTTTATCTATAACTAAGAGAGCTTATGACCTGATGTCTAATCCAGTCGTGTTTTTATATCCTATTATGCGTGTTAGTGAATTAGTTGAACGGGTTACAAATAATTTACATCATGGATTTCCAGTTGTAGTGGGTTCCACAGATTCATCAAGATTTTCATATGGTACTTTAGTTGGGATGATTTCTTCGGAGCATTTAGCACTACTGTTGCAAAAACGGGTATGTTACCTTTTCTTGTTGTGATTTTATTTTTCTATTATCAAAGTTACCTTGGTTATTGTTGTTTTTGTTCGTTCGAGTTATTGATTTAAGTTGGCGTGGAATATAATCCAGAATCAATATGATACAACAACTTTTATTAACTTTTTAAAGGCGTCTTATTTTCCGTCCATCAAAGGTTTTATTCGCGGAAGCCAATTGTTTGTTGTTCTTGTTTGAAGCTTGTAACAATTTAGTCAGACAGATAGGACAATATCTTTAATAAACTAAGGGTTCACATTCGCTTTACCTTACAATGTCACTGAAAGAGAAATGCTTCTAAATTTAGTATTACATAGGATCTTAAAGTTCTGACGAAAACCTCATTTTCACATTATTAGATTAATGAAAAGTGTTTACATCATTTGTTGGGGATTAGTGGGAGAAGTACACGGACTTTTTGGAGAATAGGAGATAGGTTCTTAAATCACCATGTACAAAACACTAGTAATTTTCTAAAGAGAGATTCTATCAGCCTTGTGGGTTGCTAAGTCATTTCAGCCAATGTTTTCTTAAAATATACTTTCGTACATCCAAATGTTAGTAATTTGAAGACCTATTCACTACTTCCTCGTCATCGGGGTGTTGTTTACGAAGTCAAGAGAACGGAAACTCAATGCCCGAAACTTGGACCGGGTTGGTGGATATGGAATATCCATCTAGAGTTATTGGTTGCAAAACCATGATTACAAAACAATAGTGCACATTGGCTCCAGGATCCCAACGGAACAAGTGGAGTACCAATCTATTGTCAGTCACTGGTTACCATGAAACTGCATCTCCTAACGTTGCTCTACTGTCTTGTAGATTAGACCTTCAGGTCAAAGACTCGAGGTGTAGCCCCCTAAGCAGACCACCAGCTTTGGTTTGGTCGCCCGGGCAGTATCCAGCCTTCACAGAAATTGAGTGATGAAGTGTGTTATTAGTTGGAGTTTGATAGATAAACTGGTGAGAAAATACGGTTCGGTAGTAGCATACAGGTTCATTCATTAACATTTATTTATTTAAACACATAACCATTGGTACAAGGGGGCCCCAAATTTATATGCACCACATTTCGTCATTCGATTCGTGTGAGGGCTGGAACACTACATGGGAAATCAAACCGAAGCAGGTGATCATATTAGGAGGCCACTTCTCGAACTTTTGACCTGAAGGTCTAATCTACAAGACAGTGGAGCAACGTTAGGAGATGCAGTTTCATGGTAACCAGTGACTGACAATAGATTGGTACTCCACTTGTTCCGTTGGGATCCTGGAGCCAATGTGCACTATTGTTTTGTAATCATGGTTTTGCAACCAATAACTCTAGATGGATATTCCATATCCACCAACCCGGTCCAAGTTTCGGGCATTGAGTTTCCGTTCTCTTGACTTCGCAAAGAACCTCCCTTCTGCGAGGTGTGAGTAGGATTTCCTTGTGAGTGGTTGTATACTGGTGGCCATATGAAATTATTTGTAGATGGAGGACGGTTTTTCCTCACCTTTGTCCGTACCAGTGCATTCAGGGACTCATTCAGTAGACTTTGAACTACTTTATTTGTTAGTGTGACTGAATACGCTCTTACTACTAAAACTAAGGCGAGTTTTCGAATTTCATATCAAATTACTTAGATAATTGTTTAAATATATAAGCCACAGTTTCATAACTTGGTAAGTTTTCTAATGCATATTTTTCTGAATACAAAATATCACAATTTTTTTTGTAAATTCATTTGATTTTCTTCAACTCACAACTTTCGTGTATTTAGGCATTTTTATCTAAAGATGGTAATATCGTATATTCATTGACCTATAAAGATTATGATGATGCTTATCCATCCTATCCAAAGTTAGGTGTAAGTCAACATATTTTAAAATTTAATTCTTTTTAATGAGATTGTCTATTTTGTTTATCGAATGTGATCAAAGTCTCAGAGTATGTTCATACATTTAAATGATTTAGTTTATGATAGTTTGATTGTTGTTCTATGGAAATGAACGTATTTATTTGGTTCATAGGAATCAGTTTAATTTCAAGATAGCTTCTTTTTGGAGAATCATCTTAAAACTGGATTCATTCGATAGATGTTTTGCTTTAGGCTGTGTCAATGTTCGGAGATATAGGCCATTAGATGAAAATTCATTAGTGTATAGATATCGTTGGACATAAAGGTTTCAAAACTGGCCGTTTGTGTTGTCATGAATCCTCACAACTGATTAGTTCGAGACTAAGATAAAACGACTTTTCAATGCTGCATATTTTTCAGTGACCCTCCGCTAGATCTGAGCCCCCAAATGCCCTTGTACGGCCGAGAGTGGGGAGAGTTAACAGGATCGTTGTTTACGAAATTGAGAGGACGAAAGGCGAATGTCTGGCGCTTTAACCCGCTTGGTGGATATGGAGGATACACCTAGGAGAGTTAGTTGGAAAACCCTGATTACAAAACAATGGTGCAGATGGGCTCCAGGATCCCGACGGAACAAACGGAGTATGGACCAATTATTGGTCACCGGCTACCATGTGTCTGCGTCTCCTAACGTTGCTCGACTGCCTTGTGGATCAGACCTCTAGGTCAAAGGCTCCGGGTGTGGCCCCCCCAAGAAAACCACCATCTTCGGTTTGGGCACCCGAGCAGTATCTCAGTTTTCACGCAAATCAAATGACGAGATGTGACACACATATATTTGGTGCCTCCTTATACCAATGTTTATGTGTTTAAATAAATAAATAATAAATAAGATCCGAGGAAAATACTACTACAATTCAAGGATATGTTAGATAGGTGTTTCATATTATTTTCCGATTCTCAGATCACAGATGACATCGGTCGGTCTTAATGTTCTTTTGACAATCTTCAGCCTGCCTTGCATGAATCAAACAGTTTTTATCACTTTTTTAGGTATTCCAAAACTTCGGGGAGTTAGTACGATTTCATGCACATTTTTTGACCATATTTGCATCTATCCTTATTTTATTTGAAATAATAAATGCTACTCCACTTTTAAAAACTACGAAGTTCCATTTCTAAAGTAGGGTAATAATTGATGATAAAGTAATTACTGCCGAACATAATTTTAGACAAGTCTATCACACTTATGTAGCTATTCGACAACCGATCTCTCTCGTAACCATTACTACACAAAATATTGGTAATGAATGCCTCCCACTGTGCTCACTTTCATTCATTGTTGTTTGTTGGCTTAGTAGTATAAAGGGAACCTCACAATTGCATAAGTAAAATAATATTCATACTGAAAGTCACTAACCATTGATTTTGATGTAGTGCATAATGTATGGTAGTTTCATGAATCTCCAACTTTCTCTATAGGAAGTGACATTACCTATCTGCACAGATCCAATTAGATTAAGTTTTCTTAAATCCTCAATCTCGTAGATGAAATGTAAGTCACTATCGTTAAGCTGAAACCTTGCTGAAATAGAATTCTCTAGGTCAGTAACTGATTGAACTTCATATACCCTCGGTTTCAAACTGTACATTTTTATTGATCATTGTTGATGCTACTCGACTGTTTAGAATGAATTTGGTTGAACAAGTTTGGGACCGGTGTGTAAAAGCTTTAACCTCTAACCATTGTTTTACTACTGAATTCAAAATATCTCGCTCTTTTAACATTGTTTAAATATCTTAGATCGTGTAAATAATAAGAAAATGCAAAAATAACAATAAGAATATACACGTTTTAAATTTTTTTAAACTATGAGGCTTGTTCAGAATCCTGATGTTCTACGTCGGATTTTTGTGTCTTCTTTTTGATTTACCTAGGATGTTTTAGCTAATTTGTCATGTGATGATATGGACGCCTACTTAGACTTGAGGCCATACATGTGTGAAGCGCCATACAGTGTCCCAGAGGTAAATATTTTTTCTTCTAAAAAAGTAATTGTGAAATCTCATCCTCCTGTAAACATTTTGATTAAAATTGTCCACATGTTTTTTGTAAGATGATGAAGTGTTGTGTTCCACTACGAAAATGTACAATGTTCTGTTAGTTTGTGTGAGATCACAATTTTAATTAAAAGTATTCACATTGTCACTGTAAATAGACTTCGCTACAAAATGAGCCTTATCCGTAGTCTAAAAGTCTAGTCAATCAAACCTTGATCATTACAAACAATGGATTTAGGTTCCCACATGGATTATTTTAGCCTCTGGACAAACCAATTTGCTTGTTCTTCAGTCACATTTTGACCTTGTTAACCTTGACTGTTTTTATATGATGGTATTCATGTATCGCCTACCCTATTCATCACATGTCTTTAAATACCTTTGCGCTTTATCAGATGGTGTTGCCACACTTGCCTTCGCTTTGCTTTCCAGCTTTCCGTTCTGAATGTCTGTCGGTGTAAGTGAGTGCCTGAAATAAATCGGTTCAACTTAACAGTTAACTGGCTTCTTATTACTGCCGTCGCACAAGCGTGGTTAATTTAAGTGTACTATAGGGTATTAAATTGATGCATATTCATTTGTTCTTTAAATTAGAGTCAGATCAGCGGACCACTAAAAATATTTGATATAAAGCTTTCTTCATTTGATCATGTAGATAAATTATGTTGACGAATTTCAATCACGTATAGGTAATAATTATTTCTCCTATAATTTGGAAGATTTTTCTTTTATGCTTGCGTTAGGTATAAACTTTGCGTTCTCTGAGCTTTGATATTATCGATCATACATGTGGATAAGGCTGATGACCTCATCTACGTCTGCTTTTTTATTGTTTAGAATGGCGTATGTTTGAACACGGGACACGGAGCTGTAATGTTCGAAGATTGTCATTTTTAAATATTAACTTTGAGTCATGTTTAACTAAAGTAAACTCAAAAAGGATTTTTCAAACCGTAATTTCGGAAATTTCAAACCACGATAATTCAGTTTTGGCACATTAAAAGTCGCTTCCTAGTGATCCCTTTTTAACTTTACACCAAATCACTCTGTAAATGCTAGTGGATCCCTATTGTGTCATCATCAGTAGTAAAAGAAAAGGTATTCCTTAGTGTTCATTTGTCCCATTTGTAGTGTTTGAGGTACTGAATAATACAGAAGATAATGAGTATCTGGTTTATAATTCATTGAAAGTTGGCGAATAAATCACACAATAGTTGTATCGTGTATAATAAGCAAACTGTTTGTAAAGTACAGATGAATAAAGCTATTTTGATGAGAAATTCGATTTATGATTTTATAGTATTAAAAGAATTACCTACAGTGACTTTTTGTCTGTTTTGTCTGTCTTTTTTTAATATCTGAATAGAAATTAAATTCCGAGTAGTGATTATAATCAATTAAATGTAGTCTAACATAATACATGGTAAAAGTGTATTTTTCAAAAATTGGCACTGTATTTTTCATGATCATAGCTATCTGTTTCTTGTGACTTTCCACCTCACTATAACCCCCTTATAAGTAATGCAGAATGATAATTATTAACATCTTTGTATAATTTTTAATATTATTTCATTAATTGCATGGTTTTTGTCAATCCAATGTGATGGTGACGTACTCACTTTATACTTAGCAATAAGTTTTTAATCCTACGTAATTATTCACGTAATTCCCATGTGGTGGATATGTCTTTAAGTTTAAATACAATTTGTTAGTTGACTAGGATTTCCTCTTTGTTTAGTATATAATAAATTGTATTGTTTTTAAAGTAATTTGTGTGTAGACTTCAGAATACCTCGGTGTTGGATATCGGGAGTTGTTAAGATAAGTAATCAATGATTGATTAAGAATATGATTTTGAAACATAATGTGATAATATTTTCATTTAGTTTTGTCAGTGTTGTGGCGGTATTTGAAGAATAAGTTATTATAGTTGTCATTTTACAGTTAAGATGCTAACTATTTCCAAATCCCTATAAGCAATCCCGCAGTATATTGGTTCCTGTGAGAATTTCAACCGATCATTGGATCTTTTGATTAAAGATGATTGTTTTCAATTATTAAGATTTTTATTTTAAGACTGAGTACATCAAATTCATAAGAGACTTGCTTGCATTGAATAAATGTAAGCTACTACTTTTTCCTGAGTTTTTGTATGCCATTCCTTTTTTATCAGAAACTGTTATGTCCTTATGTCCGATTAATTATATCGCGTGATATGACCTCCGATTGGAGACATCGACCAGACTAATGACAAAGAAATCAGTTCAATCAGTTCAGCGTCAATGCTGAGTTCTAATTGGACCACCGAGATGGTAGCTTCTCTCTTATCTTAGCCGGTTTATTTTACAACACCAATATCAGCCTCCGTTATACGAATCATATATTTCAGACATACTGGGTTTATACTCAAACAAATCAGATCTCATCATACCATAAAAAAGAAAATAACAATTATACATGATCAGGCCAAAAATTGGCTGTGATTGTGAGAGACTGTTACTAATAAATTGGGAATGTCTTGAGAATAGTATATCGTATAATAATAGTCAATAGATCAAATAAGAGCTTATGATAAAAGGAATATAAATACACATATAATATTAGTCCATAAATAATTCCTATCGGTTACCATTCATTTATTCTTCGTCCTCATCCAACAGAAACTGTCTGTTTTCTATTTTAAAAAATTAACAACAACACCTTGGACACTGTTCTTAAACTAGTATTTTAACAAAATTACTACGTTTACTCTGATTGATATCTTTATATTCGACAACCATAATTCACAGTCAGAATAACAAAGTATTCATATGACTTTTATGTTTTTCTACTTCAAAATCTGTTGAATAATTCATGTTCATGAATGATGAACGTCCTGGTCTTTCATTGTTATATTTATTCAACGGAATTTATCTTATTATGTCATATTGCTCAATAATCATCTAATTTCTACTACAATTTTACCACGTGAAACATTATCTTCTCTTATTTTAGACTATGACAATGACTCGTGTTTACCATCTTTTCCGTTTATTGGGTCTCCGGCATCTACCGGTTGTTGATAGTCAAAATCAAGTATATTACTAATGTTCTGCTTTTTTTGCTTTGTGTATATATTGAAATCGTACTTATAATTACAGTTTGACAATGTCATGAATATTGTGTATGTGATTTTACTGAATAGTTATTTTTGTGACAAATGACTGACAAGGTTATAAAAACGTGTTTTGTCTATGTCGTCTCTGTTGTGTCCACCGTCCTACTGTTCATACATGGAAACGGTAACCACTGTAATTCCCATGAAGCACGAAAGAATCCGAAAGACTTGTAAAAATGAGGATTTATTGGCTCTCCAGAATCACCTCGTCATTAGACCAAAGAGCACTCATTTCTATAATAATTTCTTCACAATAATATAACATATTGGGGAATATTAATAGAGTTACTGGAAAATATAGTGAATATAGTTCACTTGAATCAATATAGGGAATATAAATATCTCACTGAATGAAGGTTCACATGTGTCATGTTGAAGTAAGTTTATACTGGATTAATGACAACAAGATTGAAATAAATTGATGTCATCTTTTGTCCCGCCACATAAAACAATGGAAACTAGCCTAACATGAATCTTGTCAGTTCAAAGTGCCTTATGTTTTAGTGACTAAATTCTGCGGAAGAAAGTCAATAGTATGGGATAAAATAATCCAACATTAACTACTTAAAATGTTCTGACTGTCGATTTTCCCAGTCAATGGATCGTTACTAATCAAATCTATATTAAATTATGTTACCGGAATTTTCAAAACACTAAGTTCTCTTGTTTCGAAGATAATCATACTGATAGTTCCCTGCGAAGCTCAGATCACTAGTGGATAATTTGGTAATCTTCTGATTTTGGTTTTATCCATTCACTAACTCTTTTACATGTACCAGACTACAGCTTACAACAATCGTATACAGTTACTAAATAAAACTATCATGAAAAGTCCAAATCTATTTGATGTAATTTTTAACAGCAACTGTTCAGAAAATGTTGTCTAAGTATGTTCATTGTTCTAAATTATGTGATCTTAGTTAACAAATAATGTGGATCTTTACATAGCTGGAAAACCGTTTAAACATTTTAAGTGATTTTGGTTCGTAGTGAAAACCCCAAATCTAATTCCTATTCCTAACCAACAACTGCAAATCATAATTGCATTTCCTCATATTGATCTACAGTTCTCATTTAGTTCTAGTTAGTAGGTGAACATTCTCAAGGTCACTAAAACGTCTCTCAAAGGTTGTCCATAAATTATAGTCTCATCGTAGGTATCATTACCAAGGTTTGATTTGATAATTTCGAATAAATTGAGTAGATTGTTATAAATAAAATAATATATTTGTAATATCCCAATGAGTAGAAAAATTAGATTTTCTGACATTTCGTGACTTAGTGTAAACCACTTCTTCAGAGAATAAATAAATAACCAAATTAAAATTAATCCAAGTTTAAATAGTACAACGGAACAATAGGACTGTGAAGAAGTGGCTTACACTAAGTCACAAGACGTAAGAAAATCTAATTTTTCTACTCATTGGGATATTACAAATATATTAATTTATTTATAGTCTCACCGATATTGTTAAGGTATAACTGTCACATTTATTATTTATAAATGAACTTAAACTAACTTTGATAAATTTATTAATTTCTACTTTATTTTCAGGTTCGTGGAATCATTACACGGAAAGATTTAAGACGTTTCAAATTCGAATTTGTTAGCGGTGAATATCGTGTAGAAGAGTTGATTTTTTCACGTAAAATGTGAGCACTACTTAAGATCTTTTCCCTTTTCTTCTTTTTTTTTAAAAACAAACAAATAAACATGATTTTAATTATTTTCTTTGGATCTGTTATCAACATTGTATATTTATGCTCATCATCAGTATTAACTAACCTGTTCTGATTCTATATTATTGTGAAGAAAACATTTATTGGATTCACTGACTGACTAATAATAATAATAATAATAATAATTATTATTATTATTATTATTATTATTATTATTATTATTTTCACGTTATTTACTTTTGTATGTTTACCTAATGAATATTATCCTATTATTATTATTATTATTATTACTATTATTATTATTATTATTATTATTATTATTATTATTTTGTTTACGGTGATTTATTCATGAATTCTTAACTTTATTATTATTAGCCATTTCTTTTGTATAATTGTATACTTTCAAATTAATGAAATGAATTATTATATCGTTTATATATTCCCCTCCGAGCACTACCATATTAATACTGAAATCACGAATGTAAAATTATGTATACATATTAAGTAAATAAATTTTATTATTATTATTATTTTTTAACGGTGTTAATATCTTTAGAAATTTTCAGGTTGGGTTTGAATGAATTCAATGAACTTTGAATCAATTTACTAAGAACATAAAAAACAGATTATATAAGAACCATTATTTTTCAAAATCCAATTACGAAAAAAACTCAAAAGTTCATGCTTAGTTTAGAAAGTTATTAAATGATTATTTTTGTGTGTGAAGAGAATCCATGATTAGTGAGTAGGATTTCATTGTGAGTGGCCCTATACTGGTGGCCATGTGAGAGTATTCGTAGATGGAGGACAGACGTTCCTCACCCTCATCCATTTCAGGGACTTTGCTTGTCGAAAGTAAGTATAAATTGGCTCTCATAAGTATTAAATCCCTGATTCTTTTTAAATATCATTTGCATTTTGGCGAACTATTAATTCAACAAGTAATTTCGAATGACTCAATTGATAGATTCGATTGGTATATTAAACAGCATTATCGGGTTAAATGTCTGACATATTACATTATTAACTGTATTAATATTTAATGAGAAATATAGTTGTTAAAAACTTGATAAAGTTATCAGTTGCATGGGTTTCTCACTCTTTATATTCAATTTTTAACTTAGTGCACTATGTATACGGGCCTCCTGAATAAGTTCCTCATTATCACTTGTATATAAAGTTTGACTATCGTGATGTAGTCGTCTAGTGGACAACTTTCTAGTGCTTAAGGTAATAAGTACTAGATTAACATCACGGTGTGAGTATCAAATCTATGATATAAGTACACTCAACTGACAAGTCATAAATAAGACAAAAAGTTTATATTAAATCCTACCAGTATTATCTTATCCTATTATTATCCTATCAGTATTATCTTTACAAAACAGTTAGTGTGGAAATTTTTTCTTTTTTGTGCCTAATGTGTATAATTATGTTGAAAATTCTAGACTAATCTCCAAATTGTGCTACTCTCTAGTTATATCTCTGCAATCATCCCAAGATTCACATATATCAGTAGTGATTGATCAATTTCAATGAGCTACGGGGAAAAAACACACGAATCTACAAATATTTTACACAGTGTTTCATTTCTAATAGATCATGCAGAAATATGTAATAATACTGATTATTGACTTTGTCATATTAAATAATTGAATATGTTATTAAAATAACTATTGTGACATGGTATATATATACATATATGTATACGTATTAATATGCTTAGGTAGATTATATCAGTAATAGCAAAACTACTAACAGCACTTGACAACTTGTGAAATCTAATTTTGTTTATTATTGTGATATAACGAAGGTCATATATACATAAACTATGAATTTATTAGATTTACTACAATCATTCATTGTCTGTTATTTATAAATTACAGAATAATATTTGACAACATGTGCTATTATTATTGTTATAAAAATATAGACGCTATTGAATAGTTTGTTACAATTTGAGTGGGGTTGGTTGCAATTTAAGGATTGAAGTTGAGATATGATTACAGATAAGTATGTAGAAATAACATAAATTATTCACAAATTTCAAAGGTTATGATTTATTTTATAGATGCTTCATTATAATTACTGCTATTGGCCCATGTGAACAAGGGTTAGATACTATTCACCCGGAAAAAGATGACCAAGAAACACATTGCTCCGAGAATTGGAGGCAGACATCAAATTGATGAATAGCGACTAAAAATTATTGCTTAGGACAGATTTGGATGGAGGATGCTAATGGGTGGCCTATGCTTCTCCAAGAGAGGTAACAGCCATAAGCATGTACTCATATTAGAGAATTGAAAAAAATACTTTTACCAAATGTATCATATTCTGAGAGCTTTCGGGGTGTAATTGTGTCACGTATTGAATTGCGTTCGAATCCAGTGAGTGGCGTCGTGGATGCGCACTGCTGAGGAGTCCCACAATAGGACGGAACGGCTGTCCAGCTTTTCGATGGTGATCTAGTATCAATCGGTTCATGATCTCAATAAAAAAAATATTTGTTGCATATAGATTCTGTAGACGTTCTGGATTAATTTAGTTTATTATGATGAAAAAAATGTATTTCATGCCTGAATGTGTTTATTTAATAAAAACGTATAACGAATTGTTTAAAATATTTTATCTCACTCTCGTATAATACGTTGATACAATAATAAGTCTAAACAGGTTAAATATAAACCAGGATTAACGACTCAGAATAGAGAAGCAGATTAACATTATTATTCTTGCATTGTTCCGTTGTACTATTTAAACTTGGATTAATTTTAATTTGGTTATTTATTCTCTGATGAAGTGACTTACACTAAGTCACGAAACGTCAGAAATCCTAATTTTCTACTCATTGGGATATTACAAATATATTATTTTTATTTTAACATTAGATAATCCAATGAAGTTACAAGCAGTCAAACTCAGTGTATCCGAAGTAGAAATCGATTATTTTAATAGTCAGTAGGCTGCGGTTGATTTGTTCACGCTTAATGAACATTCATATTGTACTTCCACTACTACACACAAACTAAATATATATAGAGAATGCATAAGACTCAGATAACGGATGTGTAGTTACCTGTCATAGTTTGGATAGTGAGTAATGATATATGTTTTGTACTTTTTTAACTGATAAACTGAGTTAGGTTTCTTGCAAGTGTCGCACACTCACAGTTCAGTGTGTTACCAATAACCAATACCTATATTGGTAGTAATAGGCATTATTTCTGGTGGGTATGATACTTTTATATATTAATTATGGGTCATGACCTACTGCTGTTCGTATTTATCGTTTAAACTAATCAATCCCCGTTTATATATGTGATAATTAAATGGATTCCTTGATATTCTCTGTTTTTATAATCTGATTATGTGTTTAGATAGTGGCTAGTAGTGTGATCCATAATTCCAATTTTCGGTATCACCATTGATATGGGAGTATATCAAACTCGCCATAGGACGAAATCCGTAGGTGATTACTAAACATTTGTTTACAAAATCCTCATACTAACGGAGGTCAGTCAAATTCAGTCTTAAATCTTAAAAATAAATACATACAACAAATAATGAATTATTCATTTTTTATCAGTCATGACTGTCTGTGATTAAGGCAAGATATCTCTCATTGTTGTTGTAATCACATTCAGGTAGATGAATAACAGCTGAGAACAGGTTGATAAAGATTTCATAAAATATCTATTCAATTTATAATACACCGGTTGACAAAGATTAATTCGTCAAATTAGATAAATTCGATGGTTTGGTTTCCTGAGTTGAATTCCTTTGGCTACACATTTGGTAATGTCGAAATCAAATGGCAGAGATTCCCAGTGAGTAATCAGATCATTATTAGCTGAATGATGAACAAATATCCAGTTCAACGCCAATTATGTTTAGCAAAATATTTCATTGACGTGAAAAAAAAATATGTGTACAGAATATTAATGAAGCAAATCAAACAGGTCGAATGGAACATATGGTTTAAAGAATATTGGTTAGTTGATTAGTTACATAACAAAAATAATTATTAACTGGTAGATAAAATTGATGAACTATATATCTGATTTCAAAAAATTTAAAAACTGTCATTAAAATTTACTTTAAACATCAGTCTTCCATTAGTAACTGTTTTTTCACTAGTGTTTTTGGATAATTGACATCACTAGTTTGTTTGTTTGAAAGTAGTTTTCATCAGTAACGGACAGGAATTGAAGAAAAAATACTGTCGGGAGCATTGGACAGAAAATGTTTATCAATGTACATTAACAACGTAACACAGAATAAAAATCTGAACATTCAGGTATCATGGCAACTGCAATTCCAACCACCTACTGAATGAAAATTGAATGATTTGCATTTTCAGACTTAATTAGTTTGTAATTTAACACATTTTGTTGTTGTTGACATAATTAACAAATTATTGTCATCAACTTTTGACTTAGATAATAACTTTAAATATTATGTGCTATATCTTGTAGCCTTATGCCCCATTAATATATAACGTAATGATACTGCCAATTAGAGAACAGTGATTTATCGACCGGAACAATAACAATTAAAACAATCTAGAGTCCTTATCGGTCCTGCTACCTGCCTAGCTCTGCCTGTTAAGTCCAGAACACTAATATCAGCCTCCGAGATTTGAATCATGTATTTTAAATATACTGGGTTTATATATAAACCAAACAGACCATATCGTACCATAAAATAAAAAAATAACATTGGTACAAATTTATTCAAACGTGGCTGTGAATGTGGGAAATAGTAATTGATAGACTGGGCAGAACTCAAGAACGGTAAATTGTATATTAATAGTTCATAGTTCAAAATAAAGCTTATGATAAGAGGCACACGAATATGTATAGTTGAGTGGGTATATATATATATAGTATTAGTCTACAAATAGTTCTCAAAAGTTACCATTCATAATTCTCATCGAGATATAACGTTATGTTTTCTCAATTTCTTAGAGAAATGTAATTCAAAGTTCATCTCCTGTAGGTAAATAATTATTATAAATGTTAAGTTGGTATGTCAATTCACAATACTTTACGAAACAAAAATGTAGGTACTTTTAAACTGTACAAAGTCCGCAGCAATTAATATGGTATATTTATTTTGGTATTTAAATTTTAATTTAACATTACAATGATAATGTACATGTTTATTAGAATAATATGGTATT